GAAAGTGCTTCCTGGACTGTTTTAGGAATAGTAACAGAGAAAATAGCAGACACAAAGGCACAATGGGAAGAGGATAAACGATGATAACTCAAGAAATTATAAATGGGATGAGGATTTTGAGTTGAACGTGTACTTTTGCGAAGGGCTACTGGCAAATCAGCAGGTGTGTCAAATGGATCCGGAGTAGGTAGAGCAATTGGCGTAGGGGATGGGCTGCCTGAATCTTCCAAAACTACGTCTTCTAGCGAAACAGGACGAGGTCTATGCTGGTATGTAGCCAGGGGATGAGGAATAGCAGGTGAAGAGGGATTAGGAGGCTCTGGCACATCAGAGATTGAGGGATTAGTGACAATGGGAATATAGTAAGGAATGGGAAGAACCTGAGAAACGGAGTTTGGAGAGACTGATGTGGTGAAATATGGTGTGTCTTCAAAGAAGGTGACATCGGCTGACATATAGAAGCGATGACTGGATGGGGAATAACACCTGTATCCTTTCTGCACCCGAGAGTAACCCAAAAACAGACACTTAACAGCACGAGCAGATAATTTGTCAAGTCCTGGAGTGAGATCATAGACAAAACAAGTGGAACCAAAAACACTTGGAGGAACCTTAAACAGAGAGTCATTAGGGAATAAAAGTGAATGAGGTACTTTGTTATTTAAAGCAGAGGATGCCATCCGATTTATTCAAAAAGTGGCTGTAAGGACAGCATCACCCCAAAATTTTAAAGGTACATTAGCATGTAACAAAAGAGTTCGAGTAGTTTCAATAATATAACGATGTTTTCTTTTTGCAATGCCATTTTGTTGTAGGGTGTGTGGACAAGTGGATTGATGCAACATGCCATGAGAAGTCATAAAATGATTAAAAGGTGCAGAAAAATATTCTTTGGCATTGTCACTGCGCAAGATTCGAATAGAACGACCAAACTGTGTTTGAATTTCATTGCAAAAATTCTTAAAAATTGTAAATAATTCTGAACGTTCTTTCATTAAGAAAATCCAAGTATATCTTGAGTAGTCATCAATAAAAATAACAAAGTACCTATGTCCTAAGATAGAATTAACACGACTCGGACCCCACACATTTGAATGGACAAGATCAAATGGAGATTTTGCTTGACCATGGACAGCACTTGGAAAGGAGGCTCGAATGTGTTTACCTAATTGGCATGATTCACACTCCAAAGACTGTAAATGAGAGAGGTGAGGAACCATGTGCTTCAATTTATTTAGACCTGGATGACCTAGGCGACGATGCAAGAGAAGGGGGGATCTGCAATAGTGCAGACAACTGAGGTAGTGGGTTGGAAATAATAAAGACCATGCGATTCAAATCCTACTCCAATCGTCTGTCCCGTACTCCGGTCCTGTATAGAGAAAGATTCAGCAGTAAATGTTATGGAACAGTTATGAATGTGAGTAAGTTGACTTACTGAGACTAAATTAAAGGGGCAACCAGGTACAAGAAGAACAGAATTCAAGGATAAATCAGGAAGAGGGGTAGTTCGTCCAATGCCAATGGCATTAGCTTTTGAGCCATCAGCAAGGGTGATGTGGTGTGCTGTTTTAGGTTGTGACAGTTTTGAGAAAAGAGAAGGATTACCAGCTATGTGGTCAGAAGCACCAGAATCTAATATCCAGGGTTCAACAGACGATGAATGAGAGAGGCAAATTGTAGAGTTACCAGATTGAGTAGTGGCAGAGGAAGATTGTTGTGCTGCTATCTTTAGCTACAGGTACTCCTTGTACTCCATATCTGACAGAATATTCTGGTTGTCTCCTTCAAGGTCAATTTGCTTTTCCACAGCGGAAGGCTGAGAATATGTCACATTAGCTGATTTCTCAGGAAACCCAATCAAAGAATAACACTTATCTTGAGTGTGGCCCATACATTTACAATAGGAGCACTGTGGACGATTTCCAAAACTGCGACCTCCTCTTCCACCACCTCGACCACGACTTCGACCTCCACGGCTGATCACATTAGAGAAGAATGTAGAAGACTCCAAACTTGGTTGGGAACCATTTCCTATCATAGTTTCCGGAGAGGGAACACGCAGTAGACGATCAATGAGATTCTCTGCTGTAGGTACACTGTAATTTGTCAAAATTTGGTTCCAAACAGATTCAAAATCTTTGTGAAGGCCATGAAGGATGAAGACCATGCACATGTTATCAATCTTGTCTAAGACTTTTTGAAGGTCATCACCTGTCAAGACCAATTTTACTTCATCAATGGTGGACTGTGCTCTATTCAAATATGATGGGAGATCGTGATCTGTCATTTCAAGTGCAGCTAAATTATGTACAACATCGTAGAGACGCTGAACATCATTTGAATAGACACTACGAGCTTTCTTCCATATATCGTAACATGTCTTATAAGTGTGAAAGTGGACTAACAACTTCGAATCAATGGACTGCCATAGAAGTGAAACTAACGGATAATCAGCCTTCTTCCACTGATCTCGTTCAGTGGAATTAATGTCACTTGTTGTCTTAGTCAAATGGTCAGAGAGACCTTGACCCAACAACCATATTTCCACCACAGCTTGCCAATCCATATAATTTTTTCCATTAAGTTTCTCTGAAGTTGTGGATGGATTTCCAAAGAAGACAAAGGATACAGGATTTTTGTTTAAGGGTTCAGTGCTGTCAGGGGTAGAAGACTTAGTTGGGTCAGAATCCATGACTAAGCTTGGTGAGAGTTGAAGGAGACTAAACACAGCTCACCAATAGGGAAAAGGACACCCAGGACAGACAGAGGGTGTGCCGACGAGCTGAACGGGACTAGCGACGAGACGAATGGAGTCACGTAGGGCGTGGCGGTGCGTGGGACATTGGGAGACGACGGCGATCGGTGGAACAGCTGATCGGAAGCTTCTCGGGCTAGTGCCGGAGTCTCAGGCCAAACGGTGGCCGAACGTCGGGACACCTAGGAGAGGCGGTACTGTGCAGTACTGTAGATTATTTTATCAGGCTCACAGAAAGTGAGCTCTGATACCAATTTGAGACAAAAAAATAATTAGGGTAAAAACTATATATCCTTTCTTGTCATTTAGAGGTTCTTATAATAGAAATCTATACAAAACTAGATCCCTTGATTATAGGGATTGACTAGGTAATTACAGCAAAATCCTAATTACATTATTTGCATAATCAATTAGATTTCTATATAAAAGGAAAAAAGGTAAATATGAAAATACAAATATTCTCAACAGATGCGTTGGAACAGACCATGCAAGTATGGAGGAATGATCAAGAACAGGTGAGCCATGAATTGAGGCGGGGGAAAGATGATCTGAAAAGAGGTAAATGATAAGTATGAGGTGAGCGATTATGTGAGAGATACAAAATCTTAGGAAAAGAAAGGGCCCAAGGAGAAAAGAAGAGGAAGAGAATATTTTAGGGGAAGAAGATTCTTGGCCTGAATCTAATCTAAGCATCATTTCATTTTTAAGGACAAATGGAGGAAGATGGACATTCTGCTATTCGAGGGAGATGATTCGCGTGGTGGATGCACAAAATTGAAAGGTATTTCAAATTGAGGAGTGCTAACAATAAAGAAATATGGAGGCTAGTCTTTGGAGGGAAAATCCCTCAACTGGTTTCAGTTGTGGGAGCTCAAAACAGAAAACCCAACATGGAGTGAATTCAAGAAGGCAGAGATGTCAGCCTGAATATGACCCCGATCTGCAATTTTGGTAGAAGATGAAGGTTCTTTGGCGCAAGAAAGCTGAAATAATGAAGATCTAAAGAGCAAAGAGGAGAGAGAGAGAGAGACCTAGGTGAATCAGAACTAAACAAATTTAGAGATCAAGAACCAGGATCAAGGTTGTGGAGACGACATTGATTGCAACTTTGCAAGAAAGCAAAAGAAACAAAGAATAAGGATGACTGAGAAAAAAAGAAAGAAACCTTTGCATGAGTATGTGAGGAAGGATGAAAATATGAAAGATACAAAGGGTTGGATTTCAAGAATTTCAACTGTCCCACGATCTCTACTCCTGCCCAAATCAGATTTGACCCGAGGCGCAGGTGGGTCAAGAGCCACCAGATTATGATCCTTGTATGGTGGTTAAGATAAAGGCCAGGATGGGTATTGTTCTACATATCCAGAACAGTGATGTGTGGGTAGTGGTGGATGTTACCTCAGAGATGAAGATGAGGGTGAAGAAGGAAGTGGTTCTGCAACCACAAAACATCAATGCAGTTCATGAGCCGGCAAGGGTTAGGACTGAGATGTAGTCTAAGTTGTTGACCCACCTCACTTTCGTTGCCTGAACCTCCAGACAATAACAGGGGTACACTGGCTATTACTACATTATTGGCTGAAATGAGTAGGGGAATGGTGGCATGCAGATTGTGCCACCCACAACAGATGCTGGAGCTGCTTGACCTGAGGTTAAGCATGAAGAGGGCTTGACCTCAATGGAATTTTACCTTGAGGACAAGGTGAGTGTTTTGAAGGGGGGGGGGGTGGTTATTGTTAGATAACCCATTAGCTTGTTAGTTATAATCAATAATTAGTTAGGTAGTTGGTTGCAATTAGAAAAGGGTATGAGGGTATCACATGTATAAGTAGAACAAGAGAGAGGAAAGGAGAGCAGATTGTCAATAGGAGAAGGATTGTACTTTTTGAGAGTAGGGAGAGTCCATGTTCTCTCGAATAACTTGGGAAATTCACTCAATCAATAAAAAGCTTCTATTCTTTTTCTCTTCTACTCATTCGGTTCCTATCACATTCTTCTTCCTTTCTTTCATTTTCCCCCAACTAATTTTATGATGGTTATATGACAGTAATTTTAAGTGAAAAGGTACATATACATATGCTAGTACTTGTTGGTTAGATAATGGTTGACTTTTAGGCAGAAAAGTTCCAATCATTTTTCCGATAAATGTACAACTGGAACACATCATTAGAGAATTTCTCTAAACCATAGCTTATGATAGTGTGTACATACTTTGTATTTTACTTATGGTCTGTTCTTTTCCTGATTGATGTTTTAGTGTCATTTACCACAAAAGGAGAAAGATGGAGAACATACCTGGGATTGACCAAGCTGCTGAGCCACCGGTTTCATCTCTCCCACCTGCTGATGTGCTGCATAATATGGAATCAGAACAAATGACTCCTTCAAAGTATTCTATTATTAGTAGGCAGGGGGTTGGTACCACAGGAAAACACATACCTTTGCTTACAAACCTCTTCAAAGTTGCTGTTAATGCTCCAGACACAATGTTTTTCCAGTATAGTGTATGGGAGTATTTCTGTCTCTGCATTTTCCCTTAAATCATATCTTAGGCTTTACCTTATAAAGGGATTTTCAGGTTACTATTTCTTTAGAAGATAAAAGAGTTGTTGAAAGCAAGGGCTTTGGGAGAAAAGTGATTGATAGGCTTTATGAAACATACTCTTCTGAACTTGGTGGAAAAAGGTTTGCCTATGATGGAGACAGAACTTTGTACACAGTGGGTCCCCTTCCACTAAATAAGTTTGATTTCAAAGTGTTGCTTGAGGACTCATTTGCAAAGTGGTAAGTCTGTTGTATGACTGTCTTAATACACCATGTTCTTTTACCTTAAAGCTTATACTGCTTCCATCTCTTGCAGTAGCGCTGATAGTGCTGGTGCTAATGGAGGCCTTCCTGAAGAAACTAAAAGGTCAAGACATTCTTTTAAGTCAAAGACATTCATGGTGGAGATAAGTTTTGTTACCAAAATACCCCTACAGTCCATTGCTCTTGCCGTCAAAGGGGTTGAGTCAGATGCTAATTCTCAAGATGCTTTGAAAGTGCTTGATATCATCCTGAGGCAGCATGCAGCAAACAGGTTACCCATAATTCCAAGATGTAACTTCAAATTTTCTTGAACAGAATTTAAATTTTAATCATAATCTCTCTGGTTGTACTGTACTTAGTTGAGCCATTTCTTTTGAATGTGAAGAGGGTGTCTCTTGGTAAGGCAATCTTTTTTCCATGATGATTCAAGAAATTTCACCGATGTTGGGGCTGGAGTAACGGGAGTTCGGGGTTTTCATTCCAGTTTTCGTCCTATGCAGGGAGGATTATCTCTGAATATGGGTAGGACTGCTTTCATACGTACTTGGAATATTATTATCATAATGTTATGTTGTTTCCCACTTTACATTCTTCAATTATTTTTTCTAGATGTGACAACAACAATGATCATAAAGCCTGGACCTGTAATTGATTTTCTCCTATCCAACCAGAATGTGAGGGATCCCCGTAATATTGATTGGGCAAAGGTGACAAACTTCTCCAGAAAGTTATGAATCAGCATTGCTAATTACCTATAAGGTTTTTTCTTTCTTGATAATCTGCAGGCCAAAAAAATGCTTAAAAATTTAAGGGTGCATGCAACACATCTTAACCAGGAATTTAAAATTTCTGGCTTGAGTGAGAAACCATGCATTCAGCAACTGTAAGTGCTTGTAATTTGAAAGTCAAGTGTCTATTATATTTTCTTGAAATCTAAATGTAATAGAGGAAAACAAAAGCTTTTGGGTCTCTTGACCCAAAAGCATTTGTGAGCCTGATTTCTTCCTTAGTTTTAGTATGAAGGTTAAAAATGGTGATGACAATAATGGAGGGCAGACAGTGGATATTACTGTATATGAGTATTTTGCCAAACACCGTGGCATAGAGCTGACATCATCTGCTTATCTTCCATGCCTGGATGTCGGGAAGCCAAAACGGCCCAACTATCTTCCCATGGAGGTTTGCAGATTGCTGTGTTTGACTATGTCTTGTGGTTCCACTTCTACTTTAATATGTATTGTATTATTTTGCTTTAACAATTTAACCTACCTTTGGACCAATTATTTCTGATTATCATGTTCTTCCCTTTTCTTTACCATTGGTGGACTAGCTATGTTCACTTGTTTCCCTCCAGCGGTATACAAAGGTATTGTCTCCAATGCAAAGAGCATCTTTTGTTGAAAAGTCACGCCAAAAGCCTCAAGATAGAATGAAAATTCTGACAAATGTAAGTTTTTAGTTATTGATATTTTTTTTATCTTTAATATGTTAAACTCATTAAACTATGTAATAGACTGTAGGACATTGTTGCTATGATGATGATCCTGTTCTTGCTGCATGTGGCATTTCCATTGAGAAGCAATTGACTCCGGTTGAAGGTCGTGTTCTTGAGACACCGAAGGTAAGTATTGACTGACAATGTAGTTTACATTTTTTGTGGGCACAGGAGAGATAGTTGGGGAGAGATAAAAGAGAAAGTGGTGTAAAGGAGTTGGCTTCCTTCAATTTATTTGAGAACTAAGTGCACACACTGATAAAATTCTTTGGGACAGTTGAAGGTTGGCAAGAATGATGATTGCTTCCCTCTTAACGGAAGGTGGAACTTTAATAAAAAGGTATTGTGTTATTCTTTTACATTCAGAAAGTGTTTTAAGATTTCCTTTTTGATTGTTATTAAAAAATTTATTAGCTAGTTTCATAATTGATGTTGTTGTATTTCCATTTTTATAGACACTTGTACAACCATCACATATTGATTTTTGGGCTGTTGTCAACTTTTCTGCACGCTGTGATACTAGTTACATATCGAGGGAGCTGATCAAATGTGGAATGAGCAAGGGCATTGTATGTTGCCGTGCATTGTTCTAATGTGTGATACTATATTAATATGCTTTCTTGTTCTTTATTTGATTACTCTGTTTTACATATACTTAAATATCTACACAGAACATTGAACGACCATATACTTTGATAGAGGAAGAACCACAGTTGAGAAGATCTGACCCTCTTACAAGGGTTGACAAAATGTTTGACCTGCTTACATCTAAACTTACTAAAGAACCAAGGTTGATTCTTTGTGTCTTGCCAGAGAGGAAAAACTGTAATATATATGGTATATATCTTTAGGCGAAATTTTTCAGGGTTTTCTTTGCATTGAATCTTTTTTATTTACCTTATGTTCTTTCACCAACTTTTAGGACCTTGGAAAAGGAAGTGTCTGAGTGATTTTGGTGTTGTAACACAGTGCATTTCCCCCGTCAAGATGACTGATCAATACCTTACCAATGTACTTCTTAAAATTAATTCTAAGGTAACAGTACTTTTCAACTCTGATATTCAAAACATAATAACAATATGCATAGTTTGAAACTTTGAATAGTTTTGTATACCGGCCTTCAATATAGCTCGGAGGAATAAATTCTCTGCTGGCTATAGAGCATTCTGGGCATCTTCCCATAATTAAAGATACCCCAACAATGATTTTGGGTATGGATGTTTCTCACAGTTCCCTTGGTCGAGCAGATATTCCATCAGTTGCTGCAGTAAGGCCATTTTTGTTTTGTACCATTATCTATTTGTGTTTTTGTTATCACTGCAGCTCATTAATATGATGTATAATGTTCGATTGTAGGTTGTTGGATCTCGATGTTGGCCATTGATTTCTAGATATAGAGCATCTGTGAGAACGCAGCCATCTAAGGTGGAGATGATTGATTCTCTATGCAAGCCTTTGGATGATGGGAGTGATGATGGTATTATCAGGTTGGAGTAAAATCGTATATTGGACTACTGTTGTTTTGCATTTATTAGGGAAATTTGCTTGAAGCAAAAGTACCCTTAATTTCTTACCAGGTTAAGGTCCGATGGTCCATATACTTAATGAAAGAGCGAAACACACAGAAGTTGATTGGCATTTTATTCAAGGAAATATACAGAGAGTGCTTGTATAGATAGTTGACATGTTAAACTAGGGAATAGATAGTTCGTTGACAACTTCACAAAGACAGCTAATGGATTGAGGTTGATTACCTTTGTAAAAAGTTGGGCCTTATTAACATTGATGATCTAACTTGAGGGAGAGTGTTGAGAGTATAGTGTATATGCATGTGACTGATGCAAAGGGTATCTATGTCCTTTGCACTACGTTATATTGCATTGTACTACTTTAACAGAGACTTCAACCAAATTGGTTACAGTTTCCCAAACATTTATCTATTTCACAGATTTCATTTCAATATTAGAAATAAAAATAAAAAGGACAAACAATTTAATTTGCCTAAAAATTAGTGAAAAAAAAATAAAAGACTGCAACATGTAATAATAAACACACAAGTCAACATCATGAATGATTTTAACATATTACTAGTCTAGACCAAGGGATTTAGTTGAGTTTTTAAAGTTTCATGTATTTCTCTCCTAAATCTGAAAGTTCATGCTGGCTACTTCAAATTCAGGGAGTTGGTACATTTTTTGTTTTTGTTTATTATTGTAACTGCTTTTAAATATCATTATATGAATAATGATAATTTCTTAATGCTTATCTTAGGCTCTGCTTTTAAATATCTTAAGTGTTCTAATGTTTTAATGTCCTCTCCTTTTCCCAGTAGTGAATTACTAATTTGATACAACCAAAAAAAAAAATACCAACTGCACATAATGTTAAACAATAACACTTAATTATTGTTCATTCATCTGATAATTTTACACCAAAAGATGTGCATCCTGTTACATGAAAAAATGATTTTTTACCAGTCGGACACCACATTAATGCATCCCCACATCAATTCCTTTAACAGAGTTCTGTCCATTATGCTGTCTGTGTATCCAATGATATACTCAATACTCATTGTCCCAAAACCTGATGTCCATTAGATTATTGTAATGTTAGCAATTATATACATTGTTTATGTGTGTCACGACTTAATGTACAAGATGCATTACGATGACATTTTTAATTTTTTCTCTATTGATTGTGGCTTGGACATGTATGTGGATTTCAAATTCTTAATATAATGGATGGTTTGAATGATATTTCTTTTTGCAGAGAATTGCTTCTAGATTTCTATAATTCAAGTAATAGACGCAAACCAACTCAAATTATTGTCTTCAGGTGTCATTCTATCACTGTTACATTTGATAGATATACATGTTCTTTGGGTGAATTAAACTGTTTGTAGATCAAGCATTAAAAGCTTGATGCTGATATTACCCATTATAATATCTATAAATCATTAATTTGTTTTATGCTGCACTACTTATATTTGTTATAAGGGAATATTTCAAATATTTACTATCAACTTTTTTTAAAAAAATAAATTGAGAAAATTAGTATTGTTGGATTAATTATGAGATGGATATTTTTCCATACATATTTGAAATTTAATATCCTGTCATGCTACTGATTGCCTGTGAATCTCTGCCTGTTGCTATTGGCTGTACAGGACTGTCAAAGTATTACACTTAGGTGTTTGCATATTTTTCTAGAGCAACTCCTTGTAAATGCAGTGTAGTGAAATACAAGATTCAAAATACCTTGATGAAGATGTTTGTATGTTTTCCTGTGGTTTGATGTATGGCTGTTGACTGGTGTAATTAGAAGATTTTGTTTTCATATTTTCTATGGAATTCAATCTTGTGTCAATTGTATATCTTTTTGTTCCTTGAGAGATCTATGTTGACAGATGTATATTTATTTACATGAATAATTACAGTCATTCTATGATCATTGGAGTTACAAATCAATCAAATAATTCAATCAACAACAAATAATCTATACATACTTTAAATGTATAATTTAGGGAAACTAATGATATTCAACAATACCCAACTTATTATTTCTAAATAATAGTATGAATTGTACCAGCATTTGATGAATGGTTAAGTTTAAATTTTGTGAAATATGTACTTATTTTTGGTTGTCTCATTATGCTTTGTCTTGTGTATTGTTTGGTATTTATATAGTCTCTAAACTCTGTTTCATATTCAGGGATGGAGTTGGTGAATCACAATTTAAACAAGTTTTGAATATTGAGCTTAGCCAGATAATCAAGGTTAGGATGCAAGCCTTTCATTGTTCAGTTTCGTTATCTGATCCTTGTAGTTACACACTGTTCCCAGTGCATGTTTGGATTACTTATTTTGCTCTTATAGGAAAAAACAGAAAAAGATAAATCTTTCTTTGGAGTCTACTTGTTTTAAAACAATTTCCAAGCTTTTCTTAAAACAAAATAAACTAATTCAAAATTTACCCAAAAAAAGGAAAGATAATGGAAACATGCACCTGATTAATGATACACCTTTGTTGATGCTTCCTAATTCAAGGATGATGATAAACTATTCTAATTACAGGCCTATCAACATCTTGGTGAGGTTAATGTTCCCAAGTTCACTGTAATTGTGGCACAGAAAAATCATCATACGAAGCTGTTTCTGGCTAATGGTCTGGAAAATGTTCCTCCTGGTATGCTACCTGTCCTGTTTATCTCCATATGGGTAACACAAAGGATTATTTTAATATAATTTTTCCTCTTCAGGGACGGTTGTTGACACAACAATCGTGCATCCAAGAAATTATGATTTCTACATGTGTGCTCATGCAGGGATGATTGTAAGTTTAGCTATCTAGATTCCACACCTTTTTTTTTTTACTTTCATTTATCTTCATTTTTCAAGCCTTTCTGCTGCATATGGTTCCGGTGAAATATTTAACTGCCAATTAAATTGATGTTTCATCTTTTTTCACATGCCTTCCTTTTTCCTTTCCTCTCCAAATAATAGGGCACATCTAGGCCTGTACATTATCACGTGCTGCTTGATGAGATTGGTTTCTCAGCAGATGACTTGCAAAATTTGATCTATTCGCTATCCTATGTGTATGCACTCTACCTTTTGTTTATACATTATTTGACCTACCTCCAAATTGTCTTGCTTAGTAGTTTTTCCCCCTTATCTCAGGAACCAAAGGAGCACAACTGCAACCTCAGTTGGTAATTTCCTCTACGCCTCTGAAAAATAACTATTGAATTGTCTTTTACCTGAGAGAAGTGGTTAGTGTGTTTTATAATAATGTCCCCTTTCAATTTTTTTCTTCAGTGGCACCTATATGCTATGCCCACCATGCTGCAGCTCAGTTGGGACAATTTTTGAGTTCTGATGATTTATCAAAAACATCTTCAAGTCCTGCATTAGAGGGAAACACCCCCATCCCAGAGCTTCCAAGGTTGCATTCGAATGTCCAGAGTACCATGTTCTTCTGTTGAGGTGTAGAGTGCTGGCAGGTCCTAAAAATTTAGTAAAAAATTTTTGATGATCAATCAAAGTGTAAATATCTCTGGGATGTACATTTTAGTATCCATGCGAACATAGGAACCCCAAATTTTGTTTGATGGGGAGATGGATTTGTTGGCATGGGTCTAGACAATATATGTAGTTAGAAAATATTTTCTATCATCGATATGAAAATTTCCCATAATTTGGGTATTTGTAGGTATTCTATTCAAAATTTAATATTTACTTAATTTTAAAAATATATTACCCATTAAAATAAAGTAATATGATGAGTTACTTATTAATTTTATTTTTATGTAAAATTTTATAAAATTGATCATAATAAAAACATTTAAATTAATGGTTAAATTAGTCAATTTTATATTTTATAAAAAGTTATTAAATAGAATAAACGTTTAAATTTAACCACTAGGAGAGCGTATTGGACATTAATTTTGGCAGAGGTTGAAAATTGAATTAAATTGTTTTTAAACAGCTAAATTGATTTGAAAAAAAAATGAAAATTGATTAACTTAAAAAAGAATTTAACTGAAAATTAATCAAATTTAAAATTAAAAAATTAGTATTTTGTATTACAGTTTGATTAGATTTTCATATTTTATTCTTAAAATTGAACCAAAATAAATTCATTACATTTTTAATAAACTTATATTACTTTTGTTGTGTTTTCATATAAAATTAATTTTTATTTAATTTTATTATAGCATTATATAAATATATAGTGCATCACTTCTATTTAATTTAATTATTTTTTTAATTGAATATTTTTCTTTATCAATAATTTATCATTTTTTTAAATAATTTTATCTTTTGAATTATCATTTCTTTATTATATTATTTTAACAAAGTTATTTCAAACTTTGTGCTACTAATTATTCTAAATTTAAAAATAGATTAAAAATTATATAATGAATGATTTTAAAAAATAAAATTAATAAACTAAAAAAATCCAAACGAAATAGATAATTTGTGCTTCAAGTTAATTCAATATTTAAATTATATTCAAATCAAACTGGCACGTACTATTCTTGTATGCGGTTGTAATGACTTTTTGGAGAAAAATCGAACCCACTCCGGAATACCTTGATTTTTTTTTTTTTTATAATAAAAATGAATACATTAAGTTTTGGGACGTCACGGAAGCACAGTAAAATTACCCAATAAATTTGTCCTAAATTATTTATAATTTATTATATACCATTTATTTCACACTCAATATATATAATATAAAATAAAAAAAGTAAAATTACGTAATTCATATCATTAATAATTACTCTTTAACTATTACTAGTACAACTATAATTATTTAAATATTGTTCTCATGTTAAATATATAAATTGAGCTTAACAAAATAATTAAAATTTACTATTAAATTTAAATTAAATAATAATACTACAAATTTAAATTTTAAAATATTTACTTTCAACTTCTATTTAATATATTTTTATATTTTATTAATTACAATTATTTTTAATCTTTCTACATATATTGTTATTTACTAAATTAATTATAAATATTATTATTTTATGACCTCTATGTTACAAGTAATTTTTAAATTATTCTCATCTATTTCACAAATTATTTTTATTTTTAAACATATAATTTTAATCACTATAATAATTTTATAATTAAATAGTAACTTCAAAATATTTTATAATTTTTAAAACAAATTACTAACCCGATAGAAATAAGCTACTTCAATCTAGTGCCTTTGAGCAGCCTAATAACATTCAATTTCGTGTTTTACATAGGTATATAAATGGGATAAAAGAGGGTATCCACTGTAATAGTTATTTTTAAGATAAAATATTATCTTATGACACGTATAAATAATCAACTAGTATCATTTTCTAATTGACGATAACACTATCAATTTTTAAATCAATGATATTGGTATCGACTCTTTTAGAGTGATACTCTGTTGCGCTCGACATGTGACATCATTTCTCTCATTTTGTACTTTTTTAGGCTATAAAGGCTTATAAGTAACACATGTCAAAAGATGAGTTAATATTCATATGAAAGAGACAATACTTGTTTGAAAAATTAAAAAAAGTCTCACTCATACCGATGCAAGACACTAACGTGACAAAAAAGTGATAGAGAAATAATTTTGAACTATACTAATTTAAAAAATGCTTCTTAAAATTGTATTATTTTTTTGTTACTGACATAATTCACTTTTAATGAACACATTGAGTGATTTTTTTACTCATTATTTGTTGCACACAGAATCAACATTGTGTAAATAATTAATTGAAATGAGACCATTTTCAAGTGGTTGAATGGGTCTCGATGCACATATTAAATTAGTTTACATTATTTTTTGGTACATTTATTAATATTCTTTCATTTAAAGCCTTCAGGATGTTTTCAATATGCAAAGAAGCAGATATTTTAGAATATCATCAAGCTCAAAGAAGTGAACTTTAATTTTAAATATTGAAAGCAGAGTAAAAAACTACAATCTGGTAGGAAGTGATCGTCATGTGAAGTAATGATAAGTGATGATTTCTATGCAGAACAAATAAATGATATAGAGAAAAAATATGGAATTAGTAGATATTTGAGAAAGAGAGCTTGAAATTTCATTGGAATGCACAACTTTTAGAGGAATTTTCATTATAAAATCTTTAACATTAATGATTTATTTGAAGAGTTTGGAGTTGTGATAAATCCACCAAAGAAAATGACAGTGAAAGGAATAAAAATGCATGAAAATAATGGTTAATCACGAATTTTGATGCATTCTGAGGTGTAGATTTCATAAGGAACCATTAGAAGAATCTAAAATGCAAAAGTAGAAAGGAAAGAAACTTTAAGTGAATTATGAAGTAGCGAGACAAGACACTTGATTTTCAATATTTCCATATTTTGAGCTTAAATTGCTAAGGGTTTAGGCGTGAGCCGTGGGACATCAAAATCATGATGTCTATAATTTTTGACACATGAAACCATTAATTGTTGCATGAGTTGGGAGTCTCAGTTTCTAATGTCTTCTCTTTCCATATGACAAGAAAGAAGTAATTTGCTACCATCTATTTGCTCTGGGAATCTTCTAGAATATTCTAGAATGATAGACAAAGGCAAGATGACAACATAGTAGTGACTCATCTTTCTCTGATGAATTCTATAACTAGGTGGTTTGCTGCTGAATTTACAATCTTTTTGTCCATTTTCTTATATTTTCTAATTTAGTGGTAGTTGTAGGATTTTGTAAGCAGCTAATAATAAGAGTTTTAGAGGTCCAGAAATGGATATAAAATATATGTATGGTACTATGATATAGTAATATGGTGATTTCTTACAAAGGAAGAAATGAAGGCCAACATTGAATTAGTGAAGCAGATCTAGAGAAGGAAAAATATATGTAACAGAAATGTCATTAAGTCCAAAGAAAGAAGAGAGAAGTTCTACCAAAATTTCTACACCTTTCCTTTTTCTCTATCCTCATTATATATTAACTTCAATTACCACATGAATTCTCTCAAAGTCTGATTGCCTTTCTTGTGCGTGCATTTTTAGAGATTACGTCATTTTCCTCACCTTTTCCTATGCCTCATATGGAGTAGATTTCTTGTTGCCTTCTCTAACTAACTCATTATTTTTATGTGTCTCTTTGTACAATGACTCTTCTATTCCCATAGCTGATTTCTTTCTAGTTCTATATTCTCTCATTTTTTTATTGAAGGTTCATTGGAAACAAAGAGTTGAAGCTTCAATTGATGACTCCTCATAGTTACATCTCTCTTTCTCTCATTTTTATTTTTCTTTATTGTGTTTTGCTGAATTCCTAGGTTAGGATAGGATAGAATAAAGATTTGAACTTTTGTAAACTTGTCTCTTGTGAATCTAATTTGATTTTTCATGTGAATTGATATGTTTTACTTCTGAATGTAATTAATGTTGCATTGAATTTAGAACATTTTTGCACAATGGACACATTGATTTTGTAACACCCTCAATTTTGTGACCCTTGTATGGAAAAATAGGAGTTTTGGTGCAGGATATCTCGCTGTAGCAAGATGTGTGTTGTTGTGGCAAGGAAGAGCGTCTAGAATCAGGTTCTCTGATACTCTCGCTATAGCGAAGAACTCTCGCTGCAGCGAGAATGACAGAACAAAGAATTTTTTTTTTATTTTTTTGCTGCAACGAGAGGAGGGCTTGTTGTAGCGAGAATATCTTGAATTAAGGGGTATTTAAGGGTCTTTAACCTAGAAAGCTTGGATTACAATCCAAAATCTCGATCCCCCTCTGTTCTATCTGATCTCTCACCCTCTCTTCTCTGAAATTCTCCTCTAAATTTTAATCTTCCTTTGAATCTGGGCTTGGGAGCTCAACTATTCAGATCCAAGAAACCTTAACCCCTAGACAATATTCTCTACCAGGACGTTTGTGCCTTTCCCTTGGATCTCTAAGAAAGCTTGATCTGAAAGACCCATTTACAGGTAAGGGGAGTTGATCCCAAACCCTAAGTCTTATCTATGTAGTTTAACATAGGAAACTCAACTACTTGATTCTAAGTAACAAAATTGTAAGGTTTTTCTGTAAAATCATAGTGTAGAAAATGGATTTCTTGTGAGAAAACCCCCTTTTGAACCCTAACTTCGGTATTTTATTTTGGGTAATAGAACCCTAATGATTCTCTAAATTGTATTACTAAAAATGAAATTTTGGGTATGAGGATCCAATAATTTAATCCAAAATTCATTTAGATAAAATTTTATAGTGAAAAAATGAGTAACTAAACTTTTGAGGAATTTTTAAGATTTTACTATTATTTATATATGAACAAGTAATATTGAACTTTAGAATAGAAAATCTTATTAATGCTAAGAAAGTGTGTATGTTGGATTTGTACGATTGGGTTGAGTTCGAAGGTGTCTGACTTCTGGCACATTGTATTGATCTGTGTGAAATTGTTTGAGGATCTTCTGTGTTAGATAAATGTTTGTTGTTGACTGAGATATGTTAAAATGGATGAAATTAGGTTATTGATGAAAAGTAAATGATATGACATGATGAAGGAATTATGAGAGATGTGATTATAATATGTGAATCAGATAAAGTGATGGGTGTTATTATGACACAGGTATTTTGGTACATCGAAATGTGTACTCATAATACATGTATTATAATACATTAAGTTGTGTAATCAAGACTCACATGTTATGACACGTTGATCCAAAGAAGGATATAGAGAAAAATGAGAAATGTTGAGAAATAGAAAGAG